CCCCCCCAAAAAAAAAAAAAAACGACATTTCTCAGAGAGCCAAGGCATTGGTTCCGCTTGGCAGCAGCCCAGGGCCTCTTGGAGGCTCGCGCCCGCGTCCGTGGGCAAGGCCCCGCATGGAGCTTCGGGAGCTTATAGGGCTTTTTTTTGTTTTTGGGCTGTAGGGTTTGTTTTTTAATATCATCGGGTTTTGGTGTTTTTTGTTTAGAGCTTTAGGCTTTTGAGGTGTGTGCAAAAATAAGGGTTTAAGGGTTTAGGGTGAAGTTGAGGGGTTTTAAAGGTTTCGGGCCTAGGGTTTTCGCAGGGCTTAGGGTTCAGATCCCTCCCGCCCCATGCCCTGAAGCCCTTGTCAACGCGGATCGGATGGATGCAGAAGACGGGGTTACATCTGCGGCACCGAGCTTGGGCTTTGAATGTAGACACTCAACCGATCGTCATCTTATCCTCCATCATTCGTACAAACTGATCGTCGTGTCGTACAGTATACCCCGGGCCAGTTTCGAACCCTTTCGACATGTCAGAGTTCAGTGTCAAGTGCTCTTGGGAGATTCGAGCCTCGACTCAGATGCCAGGTTCAGAGCAAACAGCCCTCGGTGTGGGGGGGGGGGGGGGGGGNNGGGAGGGGGGAGTTGGGCTTCGGAAGTGCTCGAAACCTCCCAAGACACATCCCCCTTCTAGCATCCTCCTGCCAGGAATGTTGGCGCCGCCGCAAACTCGATGATGTCTCGCAGCCTCTCCACCGTCTGAGAGTGCCAAAGAGCCAACCGGATGTCCATTGAGTTTTGTCCGCTCCCAGAGTCAACTCCAACAGGTACCTCGCACGTCGAAGAACTTAGGCTTAAAGGTTTGCACCGGAAGCTTTCAGAAGCTGATACTATAGAAGCCTAAACGACTACCAAGATCATTCCTTTAAGGGTTCCTTCGTACAACTATGTCACAATATACTCCGAAGCCCTATCCCCATCCTCAAGGCCCTTATAGCAACAGATTAAAGGAAACTACAGGTGGGG